CAATACTTTGGATGTTAATTTTGATTTCTGTTTTCTTTTTGTCATTTTTTTCTTTCTTGTATTTAAAGCAAAAAATTTATACTACTATAGAAACTAAGCAGATCAACTAAACTAAGAATAACAGCTAAGACAAACTGATGCAAAAAGCAGGTATGTGGGTGTACATATATTGAGGTGGTGGTAAAAGAAATGACAAATAAATTACATTTAGAAATAAAACCTAATTAACTTAAACTACATTATTTAGAGATTATTTTAAACTACACATCTTACTGGCAAGAGATGATGTACATTTTTTTCCTTTTTCATTTTTACTTTTCACTTGGTGAACTAGACTGTAAGAAAGAATTATTAAACTATTTATAGAGAGCAGTAGCTTTGAATGAACCAAGAAATAGATAAATAAGCATGCTTTTACAAGTAAAAAACTGGTGTATAGTAGACTGTAATTATCTTAAGGGCTTTTGGCCTGCCCATTCGTGATTTTAAATCATCCTCCTGATAGCAACACCCCAAGGTCCCTAAGGAAGTTATTCCTAATTCCTGTGGTACTTCTGTCAATAATGGTACCACCATCCACAACAACTCCAATGAAAGAACAACCCAGGATTCTACTCTGAGGAAGATAAATTATCTTTCTATTATGATAAATAAAACCAGGGGAGACTGCTTCCCACAGACATCTTCCAGTGGCAGGGAGGAAGCTCATTCATAACGAGAAAAATCAGAACACAAAGGGAAGCAAACTCTCAAAAGATGCTTGAGAACCAGATTCAGCCAAATCAGAAGCCATCCCCATTTGGAGCTTCCCAGTAACATGACTTATATACTTTCTTTTGTTTAGCTTGAGTCGGCTTTCTGTCATCCATGAGAAAGACATATTACATACAATTTACTTGTGCCATATTAAAGCAAAGCCCCTAAGAAAGTCTACTATGTAATAAAATAAATTTTATTTCAGAAAAGCTGAGGAACAAAGTTAATAATTAAGTAAAAATCATCACATATACAGGAAATGTTTTCAAGAAATAGGAGAAATACTAAAAACAAGCGGATTTTTTAGTGTTACAGAAGACAGTTCAGACCTTACTATATATAATCACTGTAATTATCAATATCATTTTATAACTAGGTATCTGTCTAAGGATATGTATATAGTAACATTTAAAAATCAATCCACTTTTCAAAAAAATAAAAGTCAATCCACTTTTCAATTCATCTCACCTATTTCTGTTTGTATATATTTATGTCTATATACATACATCACTTCATGGCAAATAGATGGGGAAACAGTGGAAACAGTGTCAGACTATTTTTTGGGGCTCCAAAATCACTGCAGATGGTGACTGCAGCCATGAAATTAAAAGACGTTTACTCCTTGGAAGGGAGTTCGTGATGGACAGGGAAGCCTGGCGTGCTGCAGTTCATGGGGTTGCAAAGAGTCGGACACGACTGAGTGACTGAACTGAACTGAACATATACGAAGTATATACTTATATATTGGATATATACCATATATAATTTATGTACAAAATATATTTATATGCTTTTTTTAGAAAGAGTAAATATGCAGACTTCATTTGTTTTTTTAGCAACAACTTCTAGAGACGTATCTTTTCTAAGTCATACTCATATATTGGGGCTGAATACTGTATACTCTTAAAAGCAATGCATATTATTGTTTTTACAATGATTCATATTTTCAAAATACATTAAGATGAAACTGTCTCAAGATATGTAAAATGAGTTTTTACAAATTGTTTCATGTTTTAAATTACTATTTTTTATTTCAAGCAAAAATATTTAGGAAAAAATCATTTTTCTGGTCTAGAGCTAGCAAAATTTCAGTTCCAAAAAGTAAAACTTGAATATCTATTCCTTACTCTCAAAAGGTTTAGAAAAACATAATTATATAGAGACAGAGTGATATATGGCATAAAGTTAACAGCTGACGGTATTTGAGAGAACTTTGTACTATTTGTGAAATTTTTCTGTAAGTTTGAAGTTATTTCAGCATCAAAGTTCACAACTTTGTATCTTGTCTATCATATGATTATTAGAGTGATGATGTCATTAAAACTACATTCTATTTTGTGAACTTTGTTTTTATACTGATGACCCATTTTTGAGATTTCTGTCTTTATCTTTTTTTTTAAGAACTCCAAGTTTATGAAGCCTTTTTCAGATTCATACTCTTCTCAAGAACCGTTTGCCTTTTCACTTTAGTTTATGGGGATGTTTTCCCCCATGTTAAACCTATCTGATGTTTCTTTTAGGCATTTTCTTCTATGTTCTGGTTGTGAGGTACCCATTTAAAGGTTTAATATATAATCTACCTACATTTGCTTCTAGTTTGGAAAAACAAGAAGAGAAAAAGATGATAGAAAAGTATGGCATAGTAGGACTAGGAAAATTAATTTACCTGTTTCCTTATCTGCTACTAAATTTAAAAGAGAAAAATAGTTTTGGTAAATTTTCATTTTTAAAATAACTTTTAATTTTTTTAATGTGACTATGTACTTCATTTCTGTGGTAGTCATGTAGTTATCACAAAATGAAAGCTTAGTGTTGCAGATATGACATACCCATTCAAAAAAGAAAAAAAAAATTTGCACAAATGTTTTACAAATGTAACACTTTCATCAAACTTTTATTTATACTGAGAAATATCTAAATGTAATTCAAACACACAGTTCCCTGGTGGCTGAACAGTAAAGAATCTGCCTGCAATGCCAGAGACCTAGGTTTGATCCCTGAGTTGGGAAGATCCCCTGGAAAAGGGAATGTAAACATAAAATTTTACCTGAAATGTGCCACATTCTAACAGTATCTATGCCTTCAATGAGTTGGTTCTTGTGAACACAGGGACTACTTAAGAAGTTAAATAAACCTACAGAAGCTATTATATATATATAAATATTCCAGAAGAAAGTTTTCCATTTAAGAAGTGGTACAGTACTTTAAGACCATAGACTGTGGCTCTAAACTAGATGGATTCAAATCACAGTTCTGTTATGAGTAGTTATATGATCTAAAGTGAAGTTAACTAATACAATTAACAATACTTACATCATGGAATCTGGGGAAAGATTAAACAGATTAATATATGTAAAGTACTTGGAAATAGTACTGGCCCATTCAAAGCATTCAACATGTTAGCTGAGTTTCATCTAAAAACCACACCCACATTTTAGTTAAAAGGAATGAAAACTATAAAGAATTGAGATCAAAAATCTCAGAATCAGGGCTTCACAGCTATTTTTCACTAAGTGCATGGCTTGTATAAACCCAAAAAGAGCGTAGAAAAGTATGTAACATAAAAACTATTGAAAATATAGGAAAAATTTCAGTAAGAATATACAAATAGAAGTTTTTCATATACCTGTTTCAATATAAAATAGCCTAAGTATGCCAAAAATAGAAGCTTAAAGATAAAACTGCAAATAACAAACTTTAAAACGATGTAAACACTTTCACTGGTAAATAGAGAACATAAATTTTTTATACTCATAGAACATGTGTAAAAATTTTTCATGTACTTGCCCTCATAAATATCATAAAATTATTCAAAATATTGTTGGTAATGTCTCATGATCTAACAGAATAAGAAATAAAATAGTGACAAAAAATGTTAGAGCACTTGAGAATTAAGAACTCCTTGTAGTTCATGAATAGAAGGAAATCAAAACAAATAACAAATCATATCAATGCTACAGATACAAAAAACACATCAATCCAAAGCCACAGGAAACAATGACAATTACACCAAGAAGAAATATTACAGTCTTCCTTTATTATTAAAGAAGAAACTGACTAATCTTGGTAAAGAAACATAGCACTAGTAAGCACAAATCTTACAAAATCAAAAGGAAAAAAAATCTGAATATGTGAAATAAACAGATCCAGGGAAAAGTTCAAATTAATGAAGAAAGAATAAAGTTTAATAGTCATTAAAACAATCTAAAGGCTAATACCTCTGAAAGCTCAATAAATAGGGAAACCCTTTTTGAGTCTGTTCATTAGAAAAAGTGTGAGTGTGTGAGAGAGAGAGAGATTAGGAAAAAAGTAAACATTCAGAAGAAATTCAAATAAATACTTAAGAATATATAGGTATAGACAACCAATTTGTTAACCCAAGAGGAAGGAACAGTTCCCTTAAAAAGATAAGCTATTAAAAACCAAATCGAATAGAAGTAGAAAGCTTAAATAATTTTGATAAAAGTTTGAAAGAAGTATTTTCAAGTTATTTTAAAGTGACCAGGATCAGGTGATTTTACCAGTTAGTTCCACGTAACTTTTAAGGAGCAAAACTATTGTTTAAACTATTCTAAGCCATAGAAAAATAGTAAAATTTCTATTTGGTGAAGTGAACATTAGTTCCCAAATATTGTAATAAAAGTACAAAAAATATATAAATTATAATTTAATGCCATTAACTAAAACATAAACTTTGGCAATATATCAAAAGAATACTGTAAGTGTTCATTCCAGTAACACAAGAACAGTTCAACAGTTAGGAAATTTATCATCATCAATTACATCAACAAACTAAACTTTGATTTCATTATATGATTATATGATTATAATCATGAATGTCCAAAAAAGCCCTTCATAAAAACTCAGTCATTTCCAATAAGAAAAAAGTAATTTAGTATCCCAAAAATATTTAAACATAACATTTCTTAACAAAAACATTAATACACATAAAATAAATAATCTTTAGACTGTCCTGATTAAATGTTTCAGAGACTTTCAATACATCTAAATACCTAAACTATGGTGAAATCTGATGGTAGTAATTAAGAAATAAGGACAAATCTGAAATTTTCTACATATATATAAAACATACATAAGAGCATATTCATACCTATGTACAGACATGCTTATATATAAATACCATCAAATTCATATATAACAACATACGTGTATCCTCTCAGAAAATACATACTACACATAGAACTATACATTTGTATTTTCTCTAGTTCAAAATACTAGTGTACCTGTTTAGGCAGTCGGAACAAGGAATTCTTGTAGAAAATGTCCTTAGCCTGGCTCCAAGTGCCATCGATGATGATTATTGTGGAAGGATAAACAGGAGAATCTAATATAAATTCTTCCAAATCAGCAGCTTCAGCCCCTGGATATAATATTAATGTATCAGACTTCTGACAAATAGTTGAAAGTTCAGGATCTCTAAAAGTTTAAAATAAAAAGTCTTTATTAGTCTGTGAGGAGGACAGAAGCTTTATTATTCTTGCTGAACTTCTCTCAAAAATGCATGTTAGTAATATTCCATGGTGTATATGTACCACAGCTTCCTTATCCATTCGTCTGCTGATGGGCATCTAGGTTGCTTCCGTGTCCTAGCTGTAATAAACCGGGTGGGATATTTCGAGAGAACAGCATTGAAACATGTATATTATCTAGGGTGAAACAGATCACCAGCCCAGGCTGGATGCATGAGACAAGTGCTCAGGCCTGGTGCACTGGGAAGACCCAGAGGGATCGGGTGGAGAGGGAGGTGGGAGGGGGGATCGAGATGGGGAATACATGTAACTCCGTGGCTGATTCATGTCAATGTATGACAAAAACCACTACAATACTGTAAAGTAATTAGCCTCCAACTAATAAAAATAAATGAATTTTTTTAAAAAGGTAGTAAAAAAATGCATGTTAAAGCATTATAGCACAAGAGATATAATAATGAATAAGACAGCCTGTCTGCAAGCAAAGAAACTTCAGGGGGAAGGAGACAAGTTAAAGAATCAATTAAAGAGGGGGGATCGAGATGGGGAATACATGTAACTCCATGGCTGATTCATGTCAATGTATGACAAAACCCACTACAATATTGTAAAGTAATTAGCCTCCAACTAATAAAAAAATAAATAAATAAAATTAAAATAAAATTAAAAACAAAGAAAAAAGAAAGAGCAGATAGAAAAAATAAATAAATAAATAAAGATAATATATGGTATCATCTCTGAACTAATAAACGGCATCTACAGAAATATACAGTTAATATCAGCTTTAACAATGTCCCTTGAGATTAGGATCAGGGTAAAGATATGGGCTTTTGTCACGAATACACATTGTACATACTGAAAGTCCCAGTTACTGCAACTTAAGGCAAGATAAAGAAATAAAAGGCATAAGCAACAGAAAGGAAGATATATAATGACATAAAATACTACTTACATATAAAGTTCTAGGGAATCTACAAAACCATTTCTATGACTAACAAACAAACTTAGAAAATCAGAGTATACAGGGCTAATATACAAAGCCCAACTCTTTTCTTATATACTAGTGGCTAAAAACTGATAATAAGTACTTTTAAATTCTACTTACAAAGGATACCGAAAGTAATATGCCTCTTATCCCCCCACGGTAATATCACAAACTCTATAACAGAAAACTAAAGCAATCATTTAATTACTAGACTAATATTAAAACAATATTTTCAATCAGCTTTAGTTTAAAATCCAAGAGTGAATAATAATTTACTGGATAAGCACTATATTAGGCACCATCAAAAAAACTGAACTTAATAACATGGGCTCAAAATGAGCGAGACTATTTAGAAAAGTATTAAGTTTCTCATCCCTCAGCACATTTGTGGAAGGGTTAGATAGCCAAATGCCAGGGATGACCCAGATAGTCTCCACTTCTACCACCACAGCTACCATTTTTGCAATTAAAAAAAACAGGGGCCAAGTTGGCAGATTATATATCCACACCTATCCAAGAATTATAGAGAAACTATCATTATAAAGAGCCTCTGTGTGTGAAAGAAGTGTCACAGTGTAAATTATTTGGTTGCTCCCCTGTGAAGAGCTCTGGATCGTGCTTCCACTCCCAACAAAATGGGAAAATTCACAGCAACAGCACCAAGCCCAGACCAAAGCTCACTTCTGCAGGGCAAAGCAATGCAAACTGTAAAAATATATAAGAAAAGAATGCCTAAACAATAATTTCAGAAAAAGGAAAAAAGTTCTTTTATAAGCTTCTAACATGATGTTATTTTCATAATACAATGCTAAAATAATAAAGGAAGAAAAACGTTTGGTCAATTCCTTAGACCTGGTGCTGGCACTAATCTTACTTAGCATTGTCATAAATGAACTGAAAAAGAAATCTCCACACTTTCAAGAGAAATTAAAATTTTCATCTAAAAATATATTTAGTGTAGATAGGATCAAAGTAATTGTGAAGACTGTGAATAGGTAGAAAAGCAACAAATATGCTTCAAAGGTTAAGAAACAACTTCGAGAAAAATTTAAATATATATATTTATATTAATGGGTTCTATAATACAGAGCAAAATAAGATCCAAGAGTATTGTAGAACTGTCTGTGAAGATATCAACTAACAAACTCCTACACATACTGGACCAAATATTTTACAACACAAGAGAAGGCATTCTATCATTTTTTGAAAATATGACATGCCTATAACTAGAATACTAAATATAGTTCTCGTCACTGTACCTTAGGAAGGTCTTAATGGACTAGAAATGGAATATGTGTTTTTATATAAATGGACATCATATATAATTAAACGAAAAAGAAAGAAAAACAGGAACTGCATCTAATACAAGTACTAACATCTTGAAATAAACCATCTTAACAAAAATGAAATAAATAGTAAATATACATGCCTTTTGAGAGAGAAGGCAGAAATTATATTTCTTAATCACTTTCAATGTACTATGTTCTAGGTCTGATAGATAACCTGAAGGAAATCATTTTTAAAGTAAAAAAAGAATTTGGTTAAATTGCCCTAAAAATTAATTTACCTTTCCTCACTGAAGCGACGACCAATCTTGATTTTACACTTATCTTTGGGGAGACATGCTGCTAGAAGAGGAACTGTCCGCAACACCTTGTTCTCCTATAATTAAAAAATTAATTAAAATGCAGATTTTACTTAGATAAACACACTTTTAAGACTTTTTTCTTTTGGCCACACAGCACAGCATGCCACATCCTAGTTCCCCACCCAGAGATCATTGAACACAGGCCCTCAGCAGTGAAAGTGCCGAGTCCTAACCACTGGACTGCCAGGGAATTCCCCACTTTTAAAATTTTCTGATGAACATTTGATTCACAACATTACATACAACTTTCACAAGTTGTTTACTACAGACCACAATTTAATAAAACAGAGCTACAGTTTCTTCAACTTATCAGTACTAAACATAAGTGTATATTTTTATTCTATTTGGGTGTGTTTACATGTTTACTGATCAAAAAAGATAACATTAAACATTAGTTAAGATTATAAAAAAATGTAAAAGTGTTTAAATTGAATCAAAGTTTTTGATTCAATTTTAAAAAAACCTTTTTTTTTCACTACTACATTTTGTAGTATGTCAACTTGAAGTTAATTATCTACATATTGATGCCTCAAAAGAAAACATGTGTTCAAAAAACAACAGAATTGGGCATATCGTTTTGGAACAATAAAGAAACACAGAAGCCAAAATCTTAAAAGCACCCAATGGAACAACTTGAGCAATAAAATAATAAACATAGTATTTGGATTATAAACCAAAGTATAAAATAGAATCCAGACTGATATAAATAAATGATTAAATAAATAGGAGAGAAGAGACAAATCTTCCTCATAGAAGAATTTCGAGTAACAAACACAAACTCTCCCCACTCCAGGAGGTGATGTTTAATATCTCCTTCCTACTTGAGTGTGGGCTGCATTTATGACCTTCCATCCAAAGAATAAAGTATGGAAAGAGAAATAAAATATAATTTTCATGTGGAAAAAGTTGGTGACAATTTCTATAAATTGCATTAACTATCATCATAGTTAATGTTCACCATAAATTTTTTCTCCTAATGTCCTAACTTCTAACACAAAAAACCACCTTTCTGGTTGTCACAAGAACCTGGTTGTCACAAGCCTAGTAGAGTCAGATGATTAGCTATTCTGTCTTAGCCTCATACTTATCTTGGTTATTCTGCCCTACAGTGCTCAGTCACTGCCTGGCCTCTTCTGTTCCACTGGCCCAACTGGGAATGTCAGGCTTAATCCAATAAGGGACAGAGGCCTGGAGAATCCCATGGACTGGCAGGCTACCATCCATGGGATCGCAAAAGAGTCAGACAAGACTAAAGCAACCGAGCACGCACGCACATGGTATCCAATGTATTCTTTATCAATTTACCATCCTGTGTGTATATCCTCACAGTGAATAATTTGACTATTTTTCTGTCTGTAAAAAAGCGACAATGTACTAAAGGTGCTAAAGGTGCTAAAGGTACTAAAGGATCAAATATTACTTACTTTCCTTTAGGAATATCAGTTATTCAGCCAATTAATACATAAAACAATAAAATTATACATTAATTTGTTAAAGTAATTAAAAATGAATTTATAATTACATTATTTATTTTTGCACAGAAACAGAAAGTATTGTAGTAATGGTATTCAACAAAAACACACACACAGTTACTCTCTCAGGAACATTCTGCATTTACTTCTTTAACCTCTGAATCTAGGAAGTATTAATTAAAATAATATGTAAAAGGAAAATTTAAAGATGCTGAGAGTAGTTAAACTAATCAACCTAATAAAAAATTCAAAAATAACGGAAGAGTCAGAATTTGCTGTGATTTTAACTAAAAAGTACATGCAGCAGTCTGGAGCTCTGAAGAAGCCTGAAAACAGCAATTTGGAGCAGCTCCTATGGCGAATGGGACAAGCAGGAGGCAGGTAAGAGGGGAGTTTCAGGACATTTTCCAGTGTCTCACACTGTTTTCTTCCCTCCTAACCATCACTTTTGAAACTCTGATATATAATTAAATCACCTTCCAAATTTTTGTCAAAGTAACACATGTATAAAAGTCAAACAGTGCCAAAAGATTTAAAATGTTCCCAGATACAATCCCCAATACTACTTCCGAGGGGCAATTGCTTTAACTCTGCCAGCTATTTCTTCCAGTAGTTATGTCCATATTTCTATACATGCCTTGCTATTTCTTATCAATTTTAGATATTACATACAAACTATCAATTATTACCATCATATTAGGTAACCTTAATGTGTGTAATTCTAAGTGCATTTTATGTATCATTCATTTACTATTCACCATAAGACTCTTCCCTCATACTTTCCCTCTGTCCTCAAACTTCCCTCATACCCTCAGTTGGTAAAGAATCTGCCTGCAATACAGGAGACCCTGACTTGATTCCTGAGTCAGGAAGATCCGCTGGAGAAGGGATAGGCTACCCTCTCCAGTATTCTTGGGCTTCCCTGGTGGCGCAGCTGGTAAAGAATCTTCCTGCAGTGCAGGAGACCTCGGTTTGATCCCTGGGTTGGGAAGATCCCCTGGAGAAGGGAAAGGCTTCCCACTCCAGTATTGTTGCCTGCAGAATCTCCATGGACAGCGGAGCCTGGCGGGCTGCAGTCCATGTGGTTGCAAAGAGTCAGACACAACTGAGTGACTAAGCACCACCCCATTCACCATAAACCAGTAACACAGTATATTTTTATTACTTCCATTTCATTAATGACAAAACTGAGGCACAGAGAGATTGTCTTTCCCAGGGTTACAGAGTTTACAGAGCTGTGAAGAATTTAAACTCCTGAGACTTACTCATTCTATAACTATAGCTTCTCATAATAAATGAAGATTTAGCTTTCTTACGACACTCCTTACCCTAACATCTTCTACTATTTTTAGTGAAATAAATAAACAGTATTTACACCATTAATGGCTATATATATATATAGATATATATATAGATATATATATATTGTTCACAAAAAGCCAAGCTATTTAACATAACATTTCTTTTCTGTAAAGTTTTTTTTGCTATTTTTGAGGTAACTCTTTTCTTTCTATCCTCAAGTAATTTTCTATATGCATGTCCATACTCTTTGAAATGCTCCATCATAATAAACACCATTTCATCCATTCCATCAAGTCTTCTTTTCTCATAGCCCCTTCCTAGAGCTTATACAACTGGTTTTCAATCAGTTTTTAGAGGAAGTCATCAAACTGACCTGTTCTGTGACTGAAAACTGTATGCTGAGATTAAGCACAAGGCAGCCCAGTATGACTGAGTTAGATTAAGATTGCAAAGTTACTTGGGTGATAGAGAAAATCAATACAGATGGACTTGTACACACGTGAAAGACATTTGCAGCATATACAATTATGGATGGATCATCTAAACTGTGGATTAACCATGAAAGAAGGAAGGAAGTGAAGAATAGAGAGAGGGAAGAAAAGGAAGTGGGGGGAAAGGCAGGAATGAAGAAAATAAGGAATAAGACATGAAAACATTAAAATTGCCACAAACCAATGAAAAACCTCCAGTTTAAAATCCATCTTATGTCTGGAACCAAATAACAATGAAAATGCCCCATACTATGTATATTATGAAATGAAAACAACACTTGTCATCAAAAGTCAAGCTTTAGTCAAAACTGTTATGGCCAATAAGCTATCATTTTATGTAAATTTGAGCTATACTGGGTTGTAAGTTTAAATGCAGTAATATAATGCTAGTGATAAAAGTGTCACAATCCTGACAAAAGCATGCTGTTAACACTGGGGGAAAAAAAAAGGTTGCCCAGCAAATGAAACATCTAACAATTCACAATAAATGTAATTATTTTATCATTCGGAAAAGGAAAGTGACAGGTTAACATCCTTTAATGTCTTTGTTAAAGTCTTCAAGTGCTGTATATTAATACTTCAGAAATACAAGAAAACAATTATTCCTCCTTCAAAGCCTGGAAGAATTTTAACTTCAGTTTACACTAAACTCATTTTTGTACCTGTATCACACATCAAAGAGTTTGGTACTGATGTCACTTTCTGATTATCTATCATCTCCTTCCCACTTCTCTTCATTATTGCATTTGAGTTACTAACATACATACACATTACCACATGCATAATCCTCCCAATATATGAAACCATTAACTAAAAAGTTTTTATATACAACATATATAATATTTTATATATTTTTATTTTCATATATACATGTAAAATATACACATTTGTTCTATTCACTTAAAGAAGTAAAAAACTTAACAATCATTTCATAACACTAAAGTGCTGAGAGTAACTTCTACCTTAACAAGGAAAGACATCAAAGAACAAAAGCTAAGATCAAAATTTAAAAAGCAATAATTTCTTGACTCAACTCACAAAATTTCATTTTTCTCTCCATATAAAATCATTGGAATTCTAAATTTCCCTCTTACCGTTCAGAAACACAGTTTTTATGAAATAACACCATTTTATGAAATACATTTCATCTGTCTATAAAGCATATAAATTTATTTTTAAAAATGCTGAAAAGCTGAAAGGGATGAGTATGTTCACCTGCATGCATCCTCTTGTGTACTAATATCCTACCTGACATTGTGTATTTCACAACACCTTACTCACCTCTGCTGGATGCTGAATTATATACAAGTAGGTAGAGATATGTACAGGATGCGCTGGTAGAAATGGACACAAACACACTTTCTGAGGCCGGCTAAAGGACAAAATAAAAAAGAAAAACTGTAGTATGTTTAAAATAAAATTATATAACAATAACGTAAAATTTGAACATAATCTCACTTAAATATATAGATTTGCTAAAGCTGCATTCTTTTAAAGTGATATTAAGAAAGAATTTAATCAAACATATTTTCAATATGAGAATTTGAAAAATAAGACTCAGGTAAATTTTTTACCATCCATAGTAGATCAAAGTATCTCAAAAAATCTTGCCTTAATTATCTTCAGTGGAAGAAGAATCATAAGTCACCACCATGGTCTTTTTATTCATGAAGGAATACTTCTACTAACTTGCATTCCAAATCAAAAACAGATCTCATGTCAAATAGAAACCTGGCAACTAATCTGAATCTGAAGTTGGAAGGAACAAAGTGGTAATAAAATATTGGAATATAATCACCACCTAGAAGACAGTACTAATCGAACTTAGCCATCAGTCAACATGGAGAGCTTAACAATTGTGAGAAGAAACCCAAACAGGGGCCACCAAAGAATATTTGGCTAGAATTATATCTTCAAAGCATGTACCATACCCATCCATGTTCCTTTTTGTTATTGTTTACTCTGTTGCTTTCATTTTCCTTACTGTTTAGTGCTTTACTTGTTTCAGTAGCACTTACAAAATCCGGATGGAATAAAAGGGTACACTTCCTATTTCAGTTCTCCAGCCTAGTGCATTCTGTTCTCTAACGGCAAACAGTGATTAGTTTCTTGTGTGTCCTTCCAAAAGTACTGAAGGAATATACATGGGTAGTTTATCATTACATCCTATATTAAATATGTGTGTTTATAACATGAAATTAATCAAGCAGCCAGATACAATATGATAGAAGCAAATGTTCACAACAAACCACTATTACAGGCAGATGTCACATGACATTGTAACAGTATACAAGTGACTGCTATATTTTAAAGAGAATTCCCAACAGCATACTTGCTACTAGAAAATTGATTGCTACCTACTGTTTCCTCAATTTTACTTATGCTGAGTTATAGCCTGAGGTAAAAATATGTATATTAATAAAACACACAGTGTGAGTAAATTGGTTCGATTATATCTACCACCTCACTTTGCAAGAAACTGTTAAACCTTTGCTCCTGCTGAATAAATTATCTAAATAATATTTGAGGCAGAGGTATAAACATATTGTACAACGTGACCCCACTTCCCCTCTTCACTACTGAACCAAGAGTGAATGATTAACCCGAGGAAATCAATACACTTGTTTTCCAATGACATCTGAAATGATTTGGTGTGACTACTCAGTCCTACCGAGGATTCCCTCTTAGGAATGTGAGCAAATGTATAGGAACAGAGAGTCTTTCAGCGGTCACAAGAGTAAACATAAGTAAACACCAGAGGAATGACTTACAGGACTATACAGTGACAAACAAGGGATTCACTGGTGGCTCAGACGGTAAAGAGTGTGCCTGCAAAGCGGGAGACCAGAGTTCAATCCCTGAGTCAGGCAGATCCCTTGGAGAAGAAAATGGCAACCCACTCCTGAATTCTTGCCTGGAAAATCCCATGGATGGAAGAGCCTGGCGGGCTACAGTCCATAGGGTCACAAAGAGTTGGACACAATTGAGCAACTTCATTTTCACTTTCAGTGACAAACAAATCAAGGGCTACAATTAGAAAGGATTTCCCATTCAATGGAAGGAGACAGGATGAGATATATTCGAGTTTTAAAAGTTTAAGTTTCTGGAGTCTATCCCATCAGGATGTTTGCATAAGCCTCAGCCTCATCCACAGGGATCAGACAGAAGAAGCAAGAACTACAATCCTATAGTCTCCAGAACAAAAGACACAATCACAGAAAGCTAATCAAAATTAAAATGCATAGGATTATGACCCAGATGAAGGAACAAGATAAATTCGCAGAAAATCAACTAAATTATATGGAGACAGGCAACCTTCCAGAAAAAGAATTCAGAATAATGACAGTGAAGTTGATCCAAGATGTTGGAAAAAGACTAGAGAAGATGCAAATAATGTTTACCAAAGACCAAGAACTAAAGAACAAACAAGCAGAGATGAACAATACACTAGAAGGAATCAATAACAGAATACCTGAGGCAGAAGAACGGATAAGTGATCTGGAAGAAAAATGGTGGAAATCACTGCCACAAAACAGAACATAGGAAAAAGAAGGAAAAGAAGTGAAGACAGCATAAGAGACCTCTGGGACAACATTAAACACACCAATATTCACATTATGGGGTCCCAGAAGGAGAAGAGAGAGAGAGGACCTAAGAAAATATATGAAGAGATAAAAGTTTAAGTTTCTGAATTTTTTTTTTTGGCATGAAACTGCATATGACTGCAATGCATGACCAAATGTCAATAACATTATTTTATAAAATGTAATGTAAGATCAGATGAAACGACTTCCGCAGTGGTATGGTGGATAGGACTCTGCCTGCCAATGTGGGGGACATGGGTTCAATCTCTAGTCTGTGAATATTCCACATGCTGAGGAGCAACTAAAGCCCACATGCTAGAACTACCGAGCCTGCACACTCTAGGGTCCGCCATCTGCAACTACTGAAGCCCGTGCACCCGAGAGCCTGTGCTCTAGGGACAAAAGAAGCCACGAAAATGAAAAGCCCCTGCACCACAACAAAGAGTAGCCTTCACTCTCTGTAGATAAAGAATGTCCAAGCACAGCAACAAAGACTCAGTACAGCCAAAAATAAGAAAAAGATCAGATGAAGCCAGTTTTTAAAAATCAGAATTTCACTGCAAATCAACTGACATATTTATAAACTATATGGTTCTAAGAATATGAAAGAATGCAAAAAAACTGTCATATACCCTATTTAGGAAAATCCACATATCAGTAGAGCCAAAGAACTGAAAAATCCAATCACAAAAACAAGCTGAGTGAAAGCCATAGACTTCTGTGGGTAGCAGAAAATTGGCAAAATAAACTCTTGTTAATAGTATCTTTCCAGCTTGTGATTCATCACAAGCTGGAATCAGGATTGCCAAGAGAAATATCAATAACCTCAGATATGCACATGATACCACCCAAACTGCAGAAAGTGAAGAGAAATTAAAAAGCCTCTTGATGAAGGTGAAAGGAAAGTGAAAAGGCTGGCTTAAAACTCAACATTCAAAAAACTAAGATAAAGGCATCTGCTCCCATCACTTCATGGCAAATAGACTGGTGGGGGGAGACAGTGAAACAGTGACAGACTTTATTTTCTTGGACTCCAAAAACACTGCAGATGGAGATGGCACACATTAAATTAAAAGATGCTTGCTCCTTGGAAGAAAAGCTATGACCAACTTAGACAGCATATTAAAAAGGAAAGACATTACCTCGCCCACAAAGGTCCGTCTAGTCAAAGCTATTTTCCAATAGTTATATATGGATGTGAGAATTGGAAAATAAAGCTGAGCATTGAAGAATTGATGCTTTTGAACTGTGGTGTTGGAGAAGACTCTTGAGAGTCCCTTGAACTGCAAAGGAGATCCAACCAGTCATTCCTAAAGGAAATCAGTCCTGAATTTCTGTCTTGGAAGAGTTGACTGATGCTGAAGCTGAAACTCCAATACTCTGGACACCTGATGCAAAGAACTGATTCACTAGAAAAGACCCTGATGCTGGGAAAGACTGAAGGCAGAAGGAGAAGGGGACACAGCTTGATTCCAACTTGAGCTTCACCCAGCCCAGCATTTCGCATGATGTACTCTGCATATAAGTTAAATAAGCAGGGTGACAATATATAGCCTTGATGTACCGCTTTCCCAATTTGGAACCAGTCCGTCGTCCCATGTCCAGTTCTAACTTGTTGCTTCTTGACCTGCATACAGATTTCTCAGGAGGCAGGTAAAGTGGTCTGGTATTCCCATCTCTTTAAAAATTTTCCATAGTTTGTTGTGATCCACACAGTCAAAGGCTTTGACATAGTCAATAAAGCAGAAGTAGATGTTTTTCTGGAACTCTCTTGCTTTTTCGATGATCCAACCAATGTTGGCAATTTGATATCTGGTTCCTCTGCCTTTTCTAAGTTTCTAACATCTGGAAGTTCTTAGTTCATGTACTATTGAAGCCTGGCTTGTAGAATTTTGAGCATAACTTTGCTGGCGTGTGAGATGAGTGCAATTGTATGGTACTTTGACAAACCTAAACACAGTATTAAAAAGTAGAGACATCACTTTGCCAACAAAGGTCCATATAGTCAAAGCTATGGTTTTTTCAGTAGTCATGTACAGATGTTAGAGCCGGACAATAACATAAGACTGACTGAGCACCAAAGAACTGATGCTTTCAAATTGTGGTGTTGGAGAAGACTCTTGATAGTCCCTTGGGCTGCAAGGAGATCAAACCAGTCAATCCTAAAGGAAATCAACTCTGAATATTCACTAGAAGGACGGATGCTTAGGCTGAAGCTCCAATACTTTGGCCACCTGATGAGAAGAGTTGGCCCATTAGAAAAGACCCTCATGCTACCAAAGACTGAGGGCAGGAGAAGAAGGGGACGACAGAGGATGTGGTGGTTGGATGGCACCATCGACTCAGTGGACATGAGTTTGAGCAAACCCAGGAAACAGTGAAGGACTGGGAAGCCTGGCATGCTGCAGAACCCCAGTCCTTGCGTGCTGGGGTCACAAAGAGTCTGATTCAACTGAACAACACCATCTTTAACTCATGACGCACATACATACATATATACATACATGTGTATATATATACATATATACACAAACATACATATATACATATATATATATACACACGTGTGTATATATATATATATATATACACACACACACGTATATATATAATTATAAAAGTCCTTAGTATGACAGGATAGTGCAAAGAACTGCTCTGGTTATTGACAGCTCTGGATTTCATGTCTGACCAAAACCTCTGTTCATGGGGGCGGCAGCAAACTGGGATAGTAATTTCTTTACTAGAAGATATGCTTGATCTTTAAGAAGATTTAAAATTAAGTAGTTTG